CTAAAATGAAAATTGACTTTCGTTTTCTAAGTAGCAGGGACCCTTATTTTCATTTAAAATATTACCAAAAACACGAGGAGAGAAAAAAAAAAGCCGCCTTCCTGGGCCACTGAGGACCGGAGGAGACGCATCCTGGGTGTGTTTCCCCATCTCTGTGAAACCGTTAAATTTTCATCCAATTTTTCCAAATGTCATTATTCAGTTTCATGGGGTCAGTGTGTCAAAATGTCTGTGTTAGAACTTCGATTTATTTCCCGCACCTCCTTTACGGGGGCGGAGAGCGTGGGTAGCTGGGTTGATTTGCTCTCTAATCCACACCCCGGGCGGGTTTGCAGCTCCGAACTCGCTCGGACACGCGTCCTTAAAACCCAGAATTTTTCCACGCAGCCGCGGCATCCCGGGCCGGGAGAGCGGCCTCCTCTGCTTCCCTTCCCCCGGCCGGTCGGTTTTCTTGCAAAAAGCGGGTCCTCCCGTTGGGTCCCCGGGTGGCAGTGGCGGCTCCGCCCGCGTGCCACCCCTCGCCAGATGGCCCTCTTAATAAATGCCTTGCTCTTTGCCCAGCTCGCTTTCTTGATCCAAATGTGAAATGCCAGCAAATAAAGCAGAGCATTGTCGTCTGATGAGTTCTCTGGAGACGGAGCAGAGCCCTGGGGACAGGAAGCTAGAAGCCGCCTTTCTGTTTGCTGGGCCTGCTCCTAATTCCTGCTGGCCGGGGGCAGAAGACAGCGTTTAGATCCCAGAAAATGTAAAGGGGGACCAGGGAGAGGCAGAGACAGACAGACAGACAGACAGACAGGGTCTCCAAATTACTGCAGATGATGTGATGACCTGAAAGTCCTCTTGGGTCGTTGGGGCCCACTTGAAACATTGTGCCTGGTCTTTGCGGGTCTCCCCTGGACTCTGGACCCCGGGCAGGCGGTCGCCGCGTGCGGACCTCAGCGCCAGGCTAAGAGCGCAGCGGAAAATGAATGGGTAAGGAGAGCGCGCAGCCGGGGCTTTAATTGAATTAAAAGCTGGGTGACATCGACGCAGACACCTGTCCAATTACAGACAGGCCAAGGTGTTTACCGCCGCCGTAGAGGCGATCCGGAGATGACAGGAATCTTTCCGCCCACAGATTAACATAATGAAGGGGAACAGATTACAGTGGATTCGGGCCAAACGCCTAGGCTGGCGGCTGGGGGGGCGGGGCCCACGCAGGGCTGTAAACAGGAGCCCAGAGCCTGTTTCTTCTCCAGATGCCATTTGCTGGGCTGGTGTGGCTCAGCGGTTGAGCATAGCCCCGTGTAGGATCCAGGAGATAGGGGTTCGATTCCCGGTCGGGGCACAGGCCCGGGTTGTGGGCTCGATCCCCAGCAGGGGGCGTGCGGGAGGCAGCCGATCAATGACTCTCATCATTGATGTTTCTATCTCTCTCTCCCCCTCTCCCTTCCTCTCTCTGAAATCAATAAGGACATATTTTAAATAAGTAAAATATAAGGTGCCGGTTTGCCGCGTGCCTCCAGCTGAGTTTCAGGAGCATCTGTCCTTGCCTGCGTCTAGTCGGAGGCGTTGATCGCGGGATCTCAACGTCAAGGCTGCCCCCTCTGTTGTCTCCCTGCCTCCCGAGCCCACAGTTCAGTGACAGGCCCGGAAGCCCCCACGCCCGGTGCCAGCTCCGTGGTGACTCTCTCAGGTCGTCCGGGCTGCCTCCAGTTATTAACATTCCTCTTCAGCTCCTCTGAAACTGGAGGCGAGCGGAGGGGGAAGAAAACGTTGGAAATAATCATCTAAGCGGTCAAAAGAAACAATCTCCGGTGCTTTGCTGGCTCCCTGGGGAAGGCGTGGGGGTGGAGTTCCCTTCTAGTGAGGACAGGTAAGAAGGTGAAAAGCCTTCACTTTGAGGTCAAACATCAAGTGCCCACTTTGGGTAAAGGACCATGATAGCTGCTGGACGGTAGGACAAATAAAGAAGTAAAGGAGCCCCCCCGAATCGGTGTGAAGGGCTTGAGAATTGCAAGGTGCTCAGGGCAGGCTCTTCCCCTCTGCTGCGGGACATCCTCAGAGCATAGCTTTGGAGCCACATCGCCCCCCAGCTCTTAAAACTTCCTCCCCTTCCATCAGGACCCTGCCCCCCATCAGCTTGGGCTCTCTGCACCTACCAGGCCGCAGTTCAGAGGAACTATACTTAACCTACCCTCCAACTCCCTCGGTGGCGAGGCAGGGTTTCTCCATGTTAAGCATTAATGCAAAATGCATTATCGCTTAGCACTGGGCGTCCTGGGCGCCGCTGGTGCCAGTGATTTTGATCCGGATACCAAAGCTGCCCAGTTCCGTGGGATAGTCACACTTTTAAGACATCAATAATGCCTGCTTTATGCTTATGGAAGGGTGTTTTTTTTTTTTTTCCAACTCACCCTCTTCCATTATCAAAAGGGACTGGCAGTTTTCCTGACGTGGTGGGGACCGTTTTCTCATTTCACAGAGGTTTGTGACTGACGGAAAGGGAGAGTTCGAGAGGTCACCCGGCCTGCCCGGAGGTAGGGACAGTCTCCTCTGGGATGTGTCCCCAGGAAAGAGATTTACACCCAGGCCAGTCTTGAAGGTCCTCACTGTCAGGTGTTCATTGTAAACACCCCACAGGGTCCTAAAGGGAAACTACCCCACTTTCTCTTACTGGGTTTTCTGTGTTTGCAGAATTCGTGCCACATCTTTCTGTCTAGGGTTCCTTTATACATATGTCACAGTATATAGTTTTCAGTGCTTTTTAAATATCTACTAAAATATACTTTTTTTAATGCTTACCCGAGGATATTTTTTCCATTGCTTTTCAAAGAGAGAGAGAGAGACATCAACGTGAGACAGACACATCAATTGGTTGCCTCCCACATGCACCCCAACTGGGGCTGGGGATCGAGCCTGCACCTGAGGTACATGCCCTTGACCGATATCAAACCTGGGACCCTTCATTCCAAGGGCCGAGGCTCTAACCATGGAGCCAAACCGGCCAGGGCAACTAAAATATACTTTCAATAATCATCCCATTTTTTTCTGCTTGTCTTTACTTCAGTTTAGGTCTCTTGCCATCTAGGACTGGGAAGTCAGGTCTTGTAAGTGCCTCTTCCCCCTGAATATATACAGGTCCTCTGCTTTATGTACTCATCTCTGCATTGCGGTTATTTGTAGGGTCCCTCTCGCTCTAATATTTTCTCAGGTTAGAAACCTAGAGATCGGTTCTATTCCAAGGCTCCCTTCCCGGAGGTATGTAGAAGAAAAATTGATAAATACCTTTTGATGATGATACATAATTGTGATGGTTCTACTTTGCTTTCTCCTGGAGACTCTATAATGTAAGTCTGATTCTGACACTTACAGCAAGGCCACTGGGTCATTCACTCAGCCATCTCCAGGCGCATGTCCAAGAAGGGCTGCCTCCCTTAGCCTTGGAGAGAATATTCCTTTGCTCTTTCTTTGGCAGCCGTAGAACTTTCCCAAGCGTCCACTCGAATCCATCCTGGTAAAGTCCCCATTCTAAGAAACAAAAGAGAGAAGCCACGTGTCGCGAGCGATGGGATGACGTTGCTATTTTTCCGGTTTAGCCAAGATCCTCTGTTCAGTTGACCGGCTCCTGCTTGTACCCGAGCTGATGTGTTGTAACCTGACGAGAGAGAAAGTGCTCAATCCTTACACTGCTCCTCTTACTGAAACAGATAAGACTAATCTGTGTTTAGGGATAATTTTTCCCGTGATTGGATGAACCTTGTCCCTCTGTCACAGGGCGTTGTGAACAAGATCCCCACTGGAAATAAGAAAGAAAAAAAAACCCATAGTCTTCAAAGTGTGTTTTACAGACCACCCAAAACTTTCCCCCTGGGATTCAGATGTGGCAAGAACCAAAACAGACGATGGCTGTGGTCTTTGTTTCGTCCTGTCTCTTTGCTCTTTTCATTTTTAAAATCATCTCTCGGGGGAGGTAAATATGTATGTTAAAACTTGTGTGTGAATGATGTAAGCTGTCACCAATATTGGCACGTTAAAACAATTATCAAAGGTTTACTCCATAAAGGGACCCCATGACTGGGGCCATTTTTATGTCAGAATGGTGACAATCTCTGTGCTTAGGATTAGAGACAGCTCTGGAAAACGTGTGAAAACACTGGTGAGAAAATACCCAAATTAGATTTTTGGTACTTCTTTAATTCACAAGATTCGCTATATCAAGAGCTTCTGCCTTGATTATGAAGACCGGTAAACAAAATATGTTTACATTTCTACGGGTACTTTTAATTGCTGAACAAACCTTATACATCTACCACCAAGCCAGGTTAATTCACCACTTCCGAGTGCAACGCTTCTGTTGAGGACAGGTGTTTTAATTAAATTAACTAATAATTTTTGCAAGTAGAAGTTCAAAAGCGTCATGATCTCATTCGCTAATTGTCCAACTATGTTGATTCGCGTGTTTGTTTGCCGCAACATGAACAAAGAGTTTGTATATGTGTGTGTCCTACTGTTAAAATAATGAAGCCGCTCTTGGGAGTAGCATTTCCTGAAGTGTGTTAATAGATGCTGCATACAAAGGACTCGGGTTAGACAAGCCTGAGAAATGGTAGGTGGAGGAAAATGAAAGAGTTTTGTTTCCTCGGGAGGCCCAGGGCCCTGGAATGGGGTAATGTACGCCTCAGCTCTCGGATGCACTGGGCTCTGCTTCCCAAACTCTCGGTGGCACCCCCATTTCATAGGGCAAGTGTCTCAGGGCACTCATGCTTTGAGAAACACATACGGTAAAACAGTGTTTTGAGCTGTCTTAATAAAGTGGTCTCACTTTTTTTTTTTTTTTTTTTTTTACTAGTTATTGCATTCTGCAGTGAGCACACTGGTTGGAAAATGAATTAGAGGCACATGTGATGGTTTGATATCACTTGGTGTCTCTCTCTCAACACACATGCACACACCCATAATGTTCTTTAGAGCAGCTTACAGTAAACACGCAAACCTCTTTTTCCTCTCTCCCATTACAGGCGTATTGACGGGCTTGCTACCCTTCAAAAACTACGCGGTAACCCTAACTGCTTGCACTTTGGCTGGCTGCACCGAGAGCTCACAGGCACTGAACATCTCCACTCCACAAGAAGGTAAAGTAATTTCAAAGGTCTTGACTTCCCCCATCTCAGTCATGAATAATAAAACAGGAGAAGAGCTAAATGCTGCAAGGCCATTTGCTGGAAAACCCCAACCTAATTTGNTCTCTCTTTTTTTTTTTTTTTTTTTTTTTACTAGTTATTGCATTCTGCAGTGAGCACACTGGTTGGAAAATGAATTAGAGGCACATGTGATGGTTTGATATCACTTGGTGTCTCTCTCTCAACACACATGCACACACCCATAATGTTCTTTAGAGCAGCTTACAGTAAACACGCAAACCTCTTTTTCCTCTCTCCCATTACAGGCGTATTGACGGGCTTGCTACCCTTCAAAAACTACGCGGTAACCCTAACTGCTTGCACTTTGGCTGGCTGCACCGAGAGCTCACAGGCACTGAACATCTCCACTCCACAAGAAGGTAAAGTAATTTCAAAGGTCTTGACTTCCCCCATCTCAGTCATGAATAATAAAACAGGAGAAGAGCTAAATGCTGCAAGGCCATTTGCTGGAAAACCCCAACCTAATTTGATGACAAAGTGCATTGCCAGGCCATAATTGCTCCATTTTTGGGGGGGGTGCAAAAATGAATCAAACTCCATACCCTTTAATGACATGCATCTTTAATAGCTGTAATGCAGATTAATGGGCTTTTTAATTGCTGTTACATTGTTCATGCAAGAGCCTTGTCATTAATATGAAGCATCTGAAAGATTAATGAAAGCTTCCTCATTTTACTATGGCTCAGAAGTAAATCTAGAGACAGTCTGACTAAAAAGAATTGATTGTACGGCTCAGTATGAAATTGAGAACCAAATGGTTGATTTCCACGGTCTCTCTTAACTGCCCAGCACCAGCTCAGGCAACGATTATCCCAGTACGATGGGGCCTCTGCTCGCCTCCTTCCGACGCCAGCCTCCCTCTTGCTGTGCTTGGAACTCATGTGCGTAAACGGACATTTCGGGGAGCCCGTGTTAAGATGGCAGCGAGAAATAGGAAATATTTCAGCAGCCCAAAGGGCAAGCTTTGCTCGAGCATCACAGTGCATCCCTTCAAGGAGGAAAGCTCTCAGACCCTTTGAAGCACTGTCCCCCCCGTTCCTCTCCCCCGGGTGACAGGGGTCGCGTGTTGCTTGTACCGTCTGGTGATGAAGTTATTTAGGGGCGTTCAGAGCTTGATCTTTAGGGGCATATAGTGAGCCTCTCTCTTTCCCGGTATCCACTCTCCCCCCTTTCTCACCCTTCTTCCCAGGCCTTCTTTTCAGTTGTGTAGCAGGTGCCACTTGCCCAGAAGATGTGTGAGAGAAGGTCGGTGCCCGTGTGGGGACTCGGTGACAGAATAAAGGACTTGGTGAAATCCTTTATTCCTTGTGCTGTGCACCTGACCTCCGCAGGGCCCCTCACCTGGGCTACATCACCCGTGGCCCATCTTCAGTGTTTTCTCGACGCCTCTTTGTCTCGTCTGCTGCGAACAGCAGCTTTTCTTCATGTGTCACTGCTTCTGCTGGGGACACGAGCATCATCTCAAGTGCCACCCCAGCTTCAGTGTGGGGCAGGTTGTCTTCTCTCTCGTTGCTTTCTGTGCAGCCGCTGCATCCCCCGTCCAAGGTTTTGCCTGGTCCCCTTCAAATCTCCCTCACAGCTGTGCCCAGAGAGATGCCCACTCGTGCAGCTCACCTTTCCCTCCCAGGCCTGTAAGGAATTCCCGAGTTCCAGTTTTTCTTTAAATTTATCGCCATCCTGGCCGGGTAGCTCAGTTGGTGAGAGCGTCATCCCGATATGCCAAGGTTGCGGGTTTGAACCCCAGTCAGGACCCACATAAGAATCAACCAACAAAGGCATGAGTAGCTGGAACAGCAATTGGATGTTTCTCCCTCTCCCCTCTCCCTCCCTCTCTAAAATCAATAAATTAAAAAAATTAAATTTACTACCAATAGGTATGTTTAGGATCCGTTTTTAAAAGCTTTTAGTTCCTATGACTCCAACTCATTGACCATTACAGAAAATGAACCGACTCCCATTTAAAAAAAAAAAAAAAGACTTGCACAGAATCTAGTTTTCCTATATAATTAGTTAAATTGCTTCTGTACCTTCTGGCAATTTCCATGGTTATGCACAGGCTTCTTTATATCTTGTTACAAACCACTCTCACCAGCGCGGCCTAAGACCAAAAGCTTCTGGAGGGCAGGGGCCTTATCTGCTCCACCTGCTTTCATGGGCGCGCCCCCCGCGATCGTGGGCCGCTCGCGCTCGTGATGAAGCAACGCGCCCGGCAAGTGAACCCGCTGGGACTTCCCATCCATCACCCATGCAGATTCTCATAAATTCACGACAGTCACTTAGCACTCTTCCTAAAGCAATTACCCACAAGCTGCCCGCGAATCAGGAACATTCCCGTGCGTGGGACTTCAGGTTTATTCCGTGATTTATTGGTTTGGGTCTGAAAAGTTTGCATTGGAAAAGTAAACTAAAATTAGACTCTGTAAATCTCTCTTCTCCCCCTCAGCTCCACAAGAGGTTCAGCCGCCAGTAGCCAAATCCCTTCCCAATTCTCTGACGCTGTCCTGGAGTCCACCCAGAAAAGCCAATGGGATTATCACTCGGTACTCCCTGTATATGGATGGGAGGCGGATCTATTCAGGCATCGGGGAGAATTACACGGTCAGAGGCGAGTAAGACTTCTGTACATATCAGTAAGGAATTATAGTCTGTTTTAGAATATGTGTGTATTATATCATTGCAAACCAGTGTGTGTGTATGTGTGCGTGTGTGTATTTCCCCCCAAAATGCATACACACCTTTAACAGCTGACAGCTCAATTTTGAAAATGAAATGTATTTTAATAGACGCTGCTTTTACAATTATTCAAAGCGGGTGTATACAATTTTGGGGGGCTATATACATATGTACCTGTATTTCAGATAACAGTAATTGATAGTTACCTGAGAATTGGTTTTAAAAATTGGGTTGGTTATTTTTGTCCCCTGTTAAGCCACTAAAATTGTATGACTTCTGTGGTTACATCATACTTCCGGTGAAGCCAAAGCTTCACCCAAGGGTGTCCCACTGTAGAGCCCATCACCCCTTACCCAGTCCTTCTACTGATATAACTTGGCTCAGGTGCAGAGGGGGCCTTGGGGATATATCACCACAAAGAGCTAAGCATCTGACTCCTTGGCCTCCACCAGGTCCCAGGACTGAAGCTGGGACCCACATGGTCCCCAGCTGCACATTGATGAGTGTTATGTTATGTTCTTACATCTTTGGTAATTTTACATGTGAAAATTTGTTTGTATTTGTATGTTTGGCTACTAGTTATACCGAATAATCATGCTTTTCTGCACGATTATCAGCCATTTATATTTTACTTTAATTTATCTGATGAGCAAACACTTAATGGAGCGAGGAATGATTTTAAAACTTCTTCAAGAGCTACATTTCATACCCGGTTTTCCCTGGTTACAGTCATCGTTACTCTTTAAAATTCTTTACCTTCTACGCCCTCAAAACTTCCTTGATAACTTAGCTTAAGCCCCCCCACCAACATCCAACATGTCCCCAGTATCTTCCTTACCCCACTTCATTTATTTGTAGCTTCCTTTTAAGTTCTGTGACGTGCAGCCAAGGGGTCTGGCAGCCATGGTGGGTGTGGGTAAAGCAGATGAAATGCCCTCCAATTCAGAAGCCACTTAGCGTCTAGGTGGTTGGAGGGCGGTGGTTTTTTTTTTTTTTCTTCTTTCTCTTAAATAGGAAGCATTAAAAGTCAAAGGCATTGCTGCACCTTGAGTTAGTACAAAATATATTTAAAAATGCATACAGTTCAAATTTTTTGCCTTGCATAGGCCATAAGCTAGTAGTATGGTGGGTCAGTCGTGACACTGAAAAATGAACCCAGTTAGAGAACCTCCGGAAGGCTGTTGATGTTTGCGATAATAAATAGCACACACTTTAAGTCAAACTTTTTCATTCTGTATTCAAAGGTAATGGATTTTCCGTAACCATAGTAACCTTGGTGTATTTCGGGATAAATACATGAGGTATATACATTCTAGTTTTATTTTTGAATATAAACTACCACATTATATATTACTAATAATATGAAAAATAGGATGTAGGTTAGGGTAATGACAGCTTAAACTAGTATGCATTTTTCTTCTGCAAAAAATAAATATTTATCAAAAGTATAGGTTCAATTAATTTTTTCCCCCAGTTTTGTGGGATTCCGGTGGTGCCATTTATCTTTTTTTGCAAGATCTCCATTAATCTCTTATTTCTGTCCCATAACAGTTTTTTTTTTTTTTTTAAAGAATTTTGAGGTGGAAACAATTGCCTTAAAGCTTATGATTAAAAACATTATCGAAAGATTGAAGGACCTCCATTGATATCACCAGCAGAGCTGTTGTGGGCCACTTAAGATGTGTGTATACAGTATGTTCATAAATAGGTAGGAAAAAAAAAACACCCACCTTTTGTCTCTTCAACATACTGGGATTGTTTCAAAGTTCAGGCTAGATAGCATTCTGATTGATGACGACTCTCCAAGCTGTAGCCAACCAAATCATTCTCATTTAAATGCGCACCCTACCAGAAACGGGCAATCTTTAAGAAGTTCCTGAGATGTCTCGGAGAGGCCTGCAAAGTTTTCAGAAACAAGGGGTGCAGGAGAGGGGTAACCATGGAAGTGCGCTGTGAGCCTAACAAGGAGGCTTGTATGAGTTGTACTAACCGGTGAAGAAAGAGGGGTGATCTCTTTGGATACTTCTTTTTTGCACGAAACATAAATTGTTCTGGGTTAGCCCAACCTAAGACATTACTGCTTACAACTACTGAAGCCCCCAAAGGGGAGAAGGTCACTAGGGACTCTATTAACCAGTCTGACACCAAACCATCACCCAGGGATGTTTTCAAGGGTATCATCTAATCTACAGTCATCATAATGTTTGGGGAAGGGGGTGGGAGGTGGGGGTCCTGATTCCAGCACCATGGAGAACCCCCCCCCACTGGGGTTCTCAGGACCTGGGTTTCTGTCTCTGAGAATGAGGCCTTCAGATGAAGATAACAACAGTGTAAGAAGTGTGTGTGTGTGTGTGTAAGAGAGACAGAGACCAAGAGAAGGGAAGGAGAGAGGGAAAGCAGATGAATTTCTGGTAAAGTCAGATAAGGCAATAAATATTTATATCTTTAAACAACCAAAAGCGCTCAAACTTTCTGTCTTACTTGCCAAGGTCAGACAGAATCACGTATAAGCAGCAAAATAGCCATGTTCATCTTGAACCTTCCAGGCACTTAAGTCTTATGGTGAGAAATTTATTGTGGAAAGACGCTGTATGGCTTATGGCGTCATAAAAAATAAAAAAATAAAACAACAGCATTTAAAGGTTAGGTACGTCTAACCAAGCGCTGTGAGGAACCTTCTCAACACCCTGCAAATTTGCGCTAAGTTATATCCATTCAGACTGATGGTTTCCAAAAGACCCTGTCTTCGCAAAATAAAACCTCAGTTTGACCTTGATATTTTCTTTAATTTGAGGTTTCTGAGTAGCGCAGTGCAGTGCATGGAAATCACTCCTGCTCCATAAAGTCATGTTACCGAGGGGGATCCTGTTGACATGCTTGTGTTCCAGTCTGTGAGGCCCAGTATTAATAAGGCGGAATGTGTGAGGGCTTTCAGGTACGGCGGTGATCTCATCTATGAGTCACTGGGCCTCTCTATTACTAAGTCATACTTGTGCCCTTTCTATGTCATAGAGACAGAGCATTAGATTATACCAAGTCTGGGGAACCTTGAGGAGGCAAGGGGAAAAGTCTGAATTAGAAAAAGAAGCGAGGCTTTAGAATCTCAGAGCTGAAAAACAGGCAAGCCTAAGGGCCGGGCGGAATGGCCAATGGCACAGGGCTGTGAATGTGCGTCTCATGGAAATAAAAGAGTCACAGTTGCATGTGACTGAGCGCCCTGGGTAAGGGGTCCAGAGCAGTGAGAGGCAGGAGTCGAGTATCAGAGGTGTTCAGGTGTTTGAACTTGGTTCCGAGGCAGAGGGGAGCCACTGAAGGCTTTTTAGAACTGGGGTAGCCTGAGCTCATCTGCGTATCTGAAAGTAAATAATTGAAAAATGACATTACTCTGAAACAGCCATGGGTGCACCTGGATAGCTGTTATCTCCATTCGTTGGGTGAGAGGACAAGTAGGTTAGAACTTGAAATGCCAGAAGCTAATTGGACTTAACAATATAGATGGCAAGGGGTTGGGGAGGAGAGGAGAGAAGGGCCTCGTGTTTATTTGTTAGCAGATCTATTGTATTACATTTCTGTGCATCGGTCAGTGTAAAATGAAATCTACTTATTTTAAATCCTTTTAGATGGTGTTTAAATATTTCCCGATGACACAATCTGCTCAAGTATTTACCCTTGGTGCAGATTTCCATTAACCTTGTTGCAGATGCTAAGCCTACAACTGTATTTTTGGAGGGGCCTCGATTACGGAGCAAAGCCCAGTGACCTCATTAGGAACCACATCTGGACACGCTTTGTCTCTCTATCCGATTTAGAAAATTCAGCAAACTATAGGAGAATACCTCTATTAGCAGACCTACACTCTCAGATTCTTAAGTCATCCTTTCTCTAAAAATAAAGACAGAGAGGGATTAAAACGTCTAAACTATAAATGATATAGTGAAGTACTCAGTGTATAGACATCAAGGATATTCAGTGAATTTAGCTGCATTGAATATGTCAGAAGAAAAGAGGCAGAGATTAAATTCAAAGCACTCTTTCCTCATATCTAACTTTTGTCAGTCTTTTTTATTGCTATTTTTTTCCTTTATGGTGGTGTGTAAGTCATTTTGCTTAAACTTTCAGTCTAGTCTACAATACTTTCCTTCATAGTTTCTTCCTTAGGTAGAAAAACTTAGATTTTTCTCACCCCCCAAGAACAGGTGAACATTTCCTGATGCCTTTGTTTTTCTTGATAACTTGTACTTTGAAAATATTTTCACATGTACCAGCTCCTTGGAGCCTTTACATGACACAATCATATAAAACAGTTAAACAGATGTATATCCATTTTGTAGATAAAGAAATAGAGATTCAGAGAACTTAATGGATCTGCCTGGATTCATGAAGTTGGTCAGTGATATAGCTAGGACTAGAATTTGGGTGCTCTGCTCCCAAGTCACAGATCTCAACTAGATGAGATTAAAGTAAAAATGCTGGGAAATTCCATGACACTGTGACAATCAGCGGTGTCAAAATATTAATATAACATTTATATCTCCGTCACATCATCAATGTATTCCGAAAGACAACACGTCAATTAAAATGTCTCATTCGGATGTTAGCTTTATTTTTTAAGTTGGAAGGAACCCTACTTATTTTAGATGGGAGCTGTCTCATGCTGAGCCTGCATAAATTCAGGCGATAAAGCGGGAGGTTATAGGCCTGCAGAGTGTGGTCTTGAGAGGAGAGAGGAGCCATTTGTCCAAAGTCAGTAATGAAAGGTTGTGCGTGTAAACCTGGATTTTTATAACTCCCGGCCGCATGACCTCATATCTTTTTGTTTCACTTAACCATGGACACGAAAGAAGAATATATCCTTTGAATCCATCCCAGAAACGGTAGTTTGCTAGAGCCGCCATGAGAAAATGTCAGACCGGGTGGCTTAGGTCGCAGGGA